AGAGTGTAAGTGTCCAGGAAATTATCCATTTCTTCTGAACGATTTTCTAGTTTATTTGCGTAGAGGTGTTTATAGTATTCTCTGATGGTAGTTTGTATTTTCTGTGGGGTCAGTGGTATTCTCCTTTATCATTTTTATTGAGTCTATTTGATTCTTCTCTCTTTTCTTATTTATTAGTCTTTAGCAGTCCTATCAATTTTGTTGATACTTTTCAAAACCAACTCCCTATGATTCATTGATTTTTTGGAGGCTTTTGTATCTCTATCTCCTTTGATTCTGCTCCCGTTTCACACACCATTTTTTGTGTCTGCCACTCTTTACCGCTCCAACAACATTCTGTAATCTTCAAATACTCTGGCTTTGGTCTTTCCCTTCACGCCGAGCATTATTATTAAATTTCTCTACACACTGCTTTAAATGTGTCCCAGAGATTCTGGTATGTTGTATCTTTGTTCTCATTGGTTTCAAAAGAACATCTTTATTTCTGCCTTCATTTCGTTATGTACCCAGTAGTCATTCAGGAGCAGGTTATTTCAGTTTCCCATAGTTAGGCAGTTTTGATTGAGTTTCTTAGTCTGAGTTCTAGTTTGATTGCTGTGGTCTGAGAGACAGTTTGTTATAATTTGTATTCTTGTGCATTTGCTGAGAGTCTTTACTTCCAATTACGTATTGAGTCAATTTTGGAATAAGTGTGATGTGGTGCTGAGAAGAATGTATATTCTGTTGATTTGGGGTGGAGAGTTCTGTAGATGTCTATTAGGTCTGCTTGCTGCAGAGATGAGTTCAATTCCTGCATATCCTTGTTAACTTTCTGTCTTGTTGATCTGTCTAATGTTGACAGTGGGGTGTTGAAGTCTCCCATTATTATTGTATGGGAGTCTAGTCTCTTTGTAAGTCTCTAAGGACTTGCTTTATGAATCTGGGTGCTCCTGTATTGGGTGCATATATATTTGAGATGAATTAAGCTCTTCCCTGTGAATTGATCCTTACCATTATGCTGTGGCCTTCTTTGTCTCTTTTTGATCTTTGGTAACATCTGATAAAGTCTGTTTTATCAGAGACCCAGCATCTACAACCCCTGCTTTTTTGTTCTCCATTTGCTTGGTAGATCTTCCTCCATCCCTTTATTTTGAGCCTATGCATGTGTCTGCATGTGAGATGAGTCTCCTAGATAGCAGACTGATGAGTCTTGACTCTTTATCCGTTTTTCAGTCTGTGTCTTTTAATTGGAGCATTTAGTCCATTTACATTTTAAGGTTAATATTATTATGTGTGAACTTGATCCTGCCATTATGATATTAACTGGTTATTTTACTCGTTAGTTGATGCAGTTCTTCCTAGCCTCATTGGTCTTTACATTTTGGCATGTTTTTGCAATGGCTGGTACAGTTGTTCTTTCCATGTTTAATTACTTCCTTAAGTCTCTTGTAAGGCAGGCCTAGTGGTGACAAAATCTCTAAGCATTTGCTTATCTGTGAAGGATTTTATTTCTCCTTCACTTATGAAACTTAGTTTGGCTGGATATGAAATTCTGGGTTAAGGTCTTTTCTTCACAAGAATGTTGAATATTGGCCCCCACTCTCTTCTGGCTTGTAGAGTTTCTGCCGAGATCACTGTTAGTCTGATGGGCTTCCTTTGCTTGGTAACCCGACCTTTCTCTCTGGCTGCCACTTAGATTTTTCCTTCATTTCAACTTTGGTGAATCTTTGGCAATTATGTGTCTTGGAGTTGCTCTTCTCGAGGAGTATCTTTGTGGCATTCTCTGTATTTTCTGAATTTGAACGTTGGCCTGCCCTACTAGGTTGGGGAAGTTCTCCTGGATGATATCCTGAAGAGTGTTTTCCAACTTGGTTCCATTTTCCTCATCACTTTCAGGCACCCCAATCAGACGTAGATTTGGTCTTTTTACATAATCCCATACTTCTTGCAGGCTTTGCTCATTTCTTTTCTTCTTTTTCTTTAGATTTCTCTTCTGGCTTCATTTCATTCATTTGATCCTCAATCGCTGATACTCTCTTTCTTCAATTGATCAAGTAGTTACTAAACATACATTATCTTATTTCTCGTGTCATAGTTTTTTTCATCTCTGTCCATTCGTTTATGGCCTTCTCTGCATTAATTATTCTGGTTATCAATTCTTCCACTCTTTTTTCAAGATTTTTAGTTTCTTTGCACTGGGTACGTAATTCCTCCTTTAGCTCTGAGAAGTTTGATGAGCCTTCTTCTCTCATCTCATCAAAGTCATTCTCTGTCCAGCTTTGATCCGTTGCTGGCGATGAGCTGCGTTCCTTTGGAGGGGGAGATGTGCTCTTATTTTTGAATTTCCAGCTTTTCTGCCCTGCTTTTCCCCATCTTTGTGGTTTTATCTGCCTCTGGTCTTTGATAGTGACATGCAGTGGGTTTGGTGTGGGTGTTCTTCCTGTTTGTTAGTTTTCCTTCTAACCATCAGGACCCTCAGCTGTGAGTCTGTTGGAGATTGCTTGAGGTCCACTCCAGACCTGTTTGCCTGGGTGTCAGCAGCAGAGGCCTGAGAAGATAGAATACTGCTGAACAGCAGGTGTTACCTGTCTGATTCTTGCTGGAAGCTTCTCTCAGGGGTGTACTCCACCGTGTGGTGTGGGGTGTCAGTCTGCCTAGTGGAGGATGTCTCCCCAGTTAGGCTGCTCAGGGGTCAGGATGACCCACTTGGGCGAGCAGTCTGTCCATTCTCAGATCTTAACCTCTGTATTGGGAGATCCGCTCTCTTCAAAGCTGTCAGACAGAGTTGCTTGCATCTGCAGAGGTTTCTGCTTTTGTTGTTGTTGTTGTTATTGTTGTTTGTTGTTTAGCTGTGCCCTGTCCCCAGAGGTGGAGTCTGCAGAGACTGGCAGGCCTCCTTGAGCTGCTGTGAGCTCCTGGTCAGTCTTCCCAGGGCTTTTTACCTCGCAAGCCTCAACCAATGGCAGGCGCCCCTCCCCCAACTCGCTGCTGCCTTTCAGTTAGATGGCAGACTGCTGTCATAGCAATGAGGACGGCTCTGTGGGCGTGGGACCCTCCCGGCCAGGTGTAGGATATAATCTCCTGGTGTGCCCGTTTGCTTAAAGGCGCCCAGTATTGGGATTGGAGTTACCCGATTTTCCAGGTGTTGTGTGTCTGTTCCCCTGGCACAGGAAAGAGATTCCCTTCCCCTTGCGCTTTAGGCAGAGACAATGCCTCGCCCTGCTTCAGCTCTCGCTGGTCAGGCTGCAACAGCTGACCAGCACCGATTGTCCGGCCGTGAGATGAACCCAGTACCTCAGTTAATATTTGAAATCACCTGTCTTCTGTGTCGGCTCGCTGGGGCTGGGGCTGGAGCTGTTCCTATTAGGCCATCTTGCTCCGCCCCTCAGGAAATGCTTTGTGACAAAAGTCTGTGCAGCTGTGTTCACAGATTTCCATCTTTCTTCCTGCAATATAGATTCAGTAGATAAAGAAACTCAGAGGAGGAAAGCACAGAGGCTATTATTTTTCTTCCTGTGGGGTGCAGACTTTAGGCAGAAGGGAACATCAGAGAACTTTATCCTGTGCTTTAAGGGAGACAGAGGATTGAGAGAGGGTAGGAGGGTGATGGTTGGAAGGTCAGAGAGACCTTGAGGCTGCTTCTTCAGTTCCCAGCATGTCAAGGAGCATATTTTGAGATGTCAGTTTCTGAGCCCCAAAGCAGGCAACTCACTAAAAAGGCCAGCCAGATTCAAGGCGAGGCGTGGAGGCTCCACCTCTTCCGTGGGATGTAATAAGGTCCTTTGGGGAGGACGTGAGCAGGCAGGAGAGACTGTTGTGGCCATCTTTGGAAAATGCAGTCTGCCACGTACGTTCACCTCCCAGAGTCTCAACGTTCTTTATCCAGAAGAAAAGGAGATGTAATAACACCAACCTCACAGGGCTGCTGTGAAGAATATAGTGAGTTAGTGGAATTCAAATACTGCTTTATCTTATCGTAAGACTACAAGCTTCTTGGTAGAGACCCTGGAAAGGCAGACATCTGTGCTGGTAGGTATAGGCAGGACATTTGTCACACTGCATGGTTTGAAAAACAAAATACATGAGAATGCAAGCTCCATTGATCCATTTCATCATCATCGGTACTACCATTTTACGAATTTTGATGCCCAGTTATTCCAGCACCACTTACTGAAAAGGCTGTCAAAAAAGACTTGGCTCCATTGAGTGCCATTACTCCTTTGTCCAAGGTCAGTTGACTACATTTATGCAGGTCTGTTTCACAAATCTCTTTTCTGCCTTATTCATCAGTTTATCTGTTCTTTCAGCAATACCACATTGTCTTGGCTATTACGGCTTTCAGAGGCGGTCTTGAACTTAGTCATGTCAGTCCTCTGATATTATTCTTCACAGGTTGCATCCTCACAAAAACTAACTGAAAGTGGGCCACAGAACTGAATGTAAAAATGCAAAAACGATAAAATTCCTAGAAAATAACATAGGAGAAAGTCTAGATATCATCGTGTTTGGTGATGACTTTTCAGATACAACACCAAAGGTGCAATCCATGAAACAAAGAATTGATCACCTGGGTTGTAAAATTAAACATATGCAGTTTTTGTTGCAATACAAGCTTTCAACTTGAGGGAAATCAGAATGTCACTGAAAAATATGTGTTTTTGCCATAAGAATTATGTTGAGTTAAAAGGGAATTAACAGAAACAAAGGTAGGAGAAGTTCTCTCTACCCTCTCCTTTTATACCTAAATGGACGATATAAACTCTCCTTTACTGGAGATATTATGCTGAACGATGAATTAGCCCAGAGTTGGCCTGAAAAAATCTGCAAAACCGACCTTTTTCTCCATTGGTTTCCCCAAATGTTGCAGCTCTTGGTTTCTCAATCATCAGAGGCCCAAGGCTATTTCCTTTCTCCTGTCATTTCTCTATAAAATTGTTGTTATTTGTGGAAGATGCTACATACACTCGAATTTTAGTCATCTCTTGGAGTTCCTCATTCCTAAGTTTCTTCCATGGATATAGGTGATGTAAGTGTTCATAAATTTTATGTTTGTTTTAAGAAGAGAAAAAGAAAAATGCAGAAGCATGTCCATTCATTTTACAGAGTCCCTCATCTGTCTAACAGAGTCATAAAAGCTGTGTCATGGGGCTTGAATGAATACATTTACAAACAGGACTGAGAATAGTGGTTCTCAACTGGGGGTGCTCTTGCTGCCCAGGGGTTCTTTAGCAATGTCTGGAGACACTGTTGGTCATCACCGCTGGAGAGAGGGATGCTACTGGCATCAGGAGGTGGAGGCCAGGGGTGCCATTCAGCAGCTTACACTGCCCCTGACAGCCTCCTACAGCAAAGAACTCTCCAGCCCCAAATGTGGACAGGGCAGGGGGCAGAGGAAATGCTGGCCAGGACCAGTGCCTGGAACATGCTTAAAACGACTTGGTTGGATTATTTTTAAAATGATTTCCTATCAGACTGCTCATCAGTGACTGTGAGAAGACAACTGAGATCTTATGACCCAGGCCACATGCTGGACAGTTTTGAGGACAAAGAAAGAGAACATTCACTGAATGCATTATTTCCTCTGACCCAGGAAGGGACTGAAAGTGGAAATTTGAGGTTGTGTAGAAATGTTCTGTTTCATTTTTAAAATAACAGAGCTTCCTGGGAATTTGAATTTCTGATTTTAGAAGAAAATAGGCTATAGAATATAGACTATGCAGAATCTTCTGGTATAAATGATTCCAGAAACACCAAGATATCCCCGTTCCGTGTCATTACTAAGAGGTCCACTGTGGCTGACAGGGAAAGAGACTCAGACTTTCTTCAGGAGCTTGCACTGTGTCGCTTAGCCTCAAAGTGCTGGTAGCAGCGCTTAGCTGCTTGGGGGTTCCTGTGTTTTGAGCTGAGTCCTGCTCTTTTTCGGGTAGCCCCAGCTATTAACAAAGATGGTCGTGGTTCAAGGAGTCTGACTCCACTTTCACAAAGTGGGAGCTCCCTCCCCATACACACAGTCTTTGCTCCAGACTCAGTGAGCTGGCAGAAATGTTGTTGAGTCTTCCTCTTGATCAAGGCTCCGCTACCCTTCCTGGAGTCCTTCCCTTCCTCCTTCACAGATATTACGACCTAATGGGCCTTCTGTCTCAACCTCTGCTCCCCAGAGACCTCACGATCGCACTGTGGCATGCCCGAGGATATGAGGGCCAACTCTGGACACAGGCGGCAGATTCCAATCCAGACCCAAAGAGAGTACATCCCTAATTGAGGAACTTTGCTTAAGTCACCTAATCTCCTCGTGCCTCAATTTCTCATCTGCACAATGGGGATTGTGGTAATGCCTACCTTGCTGGGTTATTGTCAAAATCAAACAACTCAGTGCATGTGCACAGCTGGGAAGGCTGTCAGGTAGACGGTTGTCCTCGATGGCAGGTTTAACACCTCTGATCTAAGAAGCTCCCACTGCACGCTGGCTCTCACCTGAGTTTCAGCTAGCCTCTCTCCATGCAATGCAGGCTGGCAACCTTCCTCCTGGAATAGGAAAGCAGGCTGTAGGGACTGAACGGCTGACTATATTTGTCTGCACAGTTGTACAGTTTCTAGAGTTCCCATAAAAAAAAAAATACCAAGGGAGCAGGTGAAGCACACAACAGAGCTTCATTTTTCTCACAGTTGCAGATGCTGGAAGTCAGAGATCAGGTGTCTGCAGGTTTGGTGTCTCCCTGGCCTGTGGGTGGTTGCTTCTCACTGTGTTCCCCCCATAACCGTTCCCTGTGCATCCTGGTGCCTCTCTGCCCTGAGTGCCCTGATGCCCAATCTCTTCTTCTTAAAAACCAGGCCGAGCGCAGTGGCTCACACCCTGTAATCCCAGCACTTTCCCGGGAGGCCAAGGCAGGCAGATCACCTGGGGTCAGGAGTTTGAGACCAGCCTGGCCAACATGGCAAAACCCTGTCTCTACCAAAAAATACAAAAATTAGCCGGGCATGGTGGTGCACACCTGTAGTTCCAGCTACTTGGGAGGTTGAGGCAGGAGAATCACTTGAACCCGGGAGGCGGAGGTTGCAGTGAGCCAAGATTGCATCACTTCCTCAACCTGGGTGACAGAGTGAGACTCTGTCTCGAAGAAAAAAGGACAGCAGGCATATTGTGTTAGGGGCCCATGTTAGTGACCTCATTTTTGTAACCACCCCTATAAAGACCCTGCCTCCAAATACAGTCAGATTCATTGGAATTTAGGAGAACCAAATTCAGCCCACAATGAGGCTCAAGTCGCCTCTTTTCCCTCTGCACATGGGCATCCCTGCTGACCACGCAGCCCATCTGCGGCATGTCCCTGCTCCCAGCTGCAGCATGTCCTCCTCCGGGGCGTCCATTTAAAACTGTGTCCAGCGTGTCCTCCTCCGGGGCGTCCATTTAAAACTGTGTCCAGCGTGTCCTCCTCCAGGGCGTCCATTTTAAAACCACGTCAGCATGTCCTCCAGGGCGTCCATTTAAAACTGTGTCCAGCATGTCCTCCTCCAGGACGTCCATTTAAAACCATGTCCAGCATGTCCTCCAGGGCATCATTTAAACTGTGTCCACTGTGTGTCCTCCAGTAGCGCCCATTTTGAAACTGTGTCCAGCGTGTCCTCCTCCAGGGAATCCATTTAAAACCATGTCAACATGTCCTCCAGCGCGCCCATTTAAAACTGTGTCCAGCGTGTCCTCCTCCAGGGAATCCATTTAAAACCATGTCCAGCATGTCCTCCAGGGCGTCCATTTAAAACTGTGTCCAGCGTGTCCTCCAGGGCGTCCATTTAAAACTGTGTCCACTGTGTCCTCCAGGGCATCCATTTAAAACCACGTCCAGCATGTCCTCCTCCAGGGCATCCATTTAAAACTGTGTCCCTGTGTCACTCCAGGGCATCATTTAAAACCACGTCAGCATGTCTTACTCCAGGGCATCCATTTAAACTGTGTCCACTGTCTCCTCCCAGGGTACCTATTGAAAAATGTGTCCACTGTGTCCTCCAGGGCGTCCATTTAAAACTGTGTCCACTGTGTCCTCCAGGGCATCCATTTAAAACCACGTCCAGCATGTCCTCCTCCAGGGCATCCATTTAAAACTGTGTCCACTGTGTCCTCCAGGGCGCCTATTGAAAACTGTGTCCACTGTGTCCTCCAGGGCGTCCATTTAAAACTGTGTCCAGCGTGTCCTCCTCCAGGGCATCATTTAAAACCATATCCAGCATGTCCTCCAGGGCATCCATTTAAAACTGTGTCCACTGTGTCCTCCAGGGCATCCATTTAAAAAACTTCTTCTCCACTGTGTCCTCCAGGGCATCCATTTAAAACTGTGTCCACTGTGTCCTCCAGGGCGTCATTAAAACTGTGTCCAGTGTGTCCTCCAGGGCATCCATTTAAAACTGTGTCCAGCGTGTCCTCCAGGGCATCCATTTAAACTATGTCCAGTGTGTCCTCCAGGGCGTCCATTTAAAACTGTGTCCAGTGTGTCCTCGAAGTCATTTAAAACTGTGTCCAGTGTGTCCTCCGGGCGTCCATTTAAAACTGTGTCCAGCATGGCCTCCAGGGCATCCATTTAAAACTGTGTCCCTGTGTCCTCAGGCGTCCATTTAAAACTGTGTGCTGTGTCCCCTCCGGGCGAAATCCATTTTAAAACTGTGTCCACTGTGTCCCCTCCAGGAGCGTCCATTTAAAACTGTGTCCACTGTGTCCTCCAGGGTGTCCATTTTAAAACTGTATCCTGTGTCCTCCAGTCCATTTAAAACTGTCAGCGTGTCCTACAGAGCAGCATCCATTTAAAACTGTGTCAGTGTGTCCTCCCAGAGCGTCCATTTAAAACTGTGTCCAGCGTGTCCTCAGGGCATCCATTTAAAACTTGCTTATCTCTTGTAGAAAAAGTGTGTATTTGTTCATTAACAGATATACCTGAGTTAGGAAAGTTGTTTCCAATAAATAGCCCTAGTATAATGAGCTAAAGAAGTTCTCCTCTGATTAATTAACCCAGTGTGGCACTGGCTACAGGACACTGAGCTTCAATTTTCTTATCTGGAAAATATAGGGGTAAGAGGGTACCAAATCTAATAGGTATATTTGTGAGGGATTAGTGGAATAAGTTATCGGCCTCAGTACAGTACCTTGCATGTAGCAAACAATGAATATTAGTCACTACTATTATTGTTACCACTATTATTAATGTTATCTTTTTTTTTTTGAGGCACAGTTTCACTCTTGTTGCCCAGGCTGGAGTGCAATGACACGAGTCTCAGCTCACTGCAACCTCCGCCTACTGAGTTCAAGCGATTCTCCTGCCTTAGCCTCCCAAGTAGCTGGGATTACCTGGGCCGCCACCACAGCCGGCTAATTTTTGTATTTTTAGTAGAGATAGGATTTCACCATGTTGGCCCAGGCTGGTCCCACAAATTCCTGACCTCAAGTGATCATCTTTAATCCAAGATTGAGACTAAGTACAAAAGGCACTACCTAGCAGGTGGATGCAGGCCCATTAGGATGTCTACTCCTGCCAAGTTTGAGGGAAAAAAATACAAATTTCAACATCCGTAGCTTTGACTCTTGAAAAAAAAAAAACGGAAGAGAGAGAAATATTAGAAGAACATAAATTTAACCAGAATGTTGGTGATATTTAAATAAGATTTAAATTCATGCAACATTTAAACAGAAAAGAAGAGGAAATGGCATTAAATTCACATAGAATTTGGATTATACTAGAGCCAAATATTAACTGTATCCCCTGTAGGAACAGTGCGACTGGCTGATGGATTATGAAAAAGAAGTTCAAGAATTTTAATAGATCCTTCCTTCAAACCACATCAGCATTGTAAAGTGGTAGTTTAATAAATTATATGACATGTACAGTTGATTCATATTTTAACAAGAAGTAATGAACAGAGTCTTGCCGGCTCCACCTAGACCATTACATTTCTCCAGTTCATCTCCCAGAGAAGTTTGGAATGTCTGTAATCTAATGCAATGAACAGGCTATGAAGGAAGGATGGATGTCAGAATATGTTGGAAAGAAGTTCTGTCCATCCAGCTATTGCAGGAACACATCTCAGGTTCTCTCTCAGACAGGGATGGAGTTGGGGCCAGGTCCACTGGAGGACTAGGCTTGTGTCTTTCTAAGCTCACCTAGGCTCAGGGCCTGGAGTCCCAAGAGCCTAGGTGGCAGGCCAAACAAGTCTCAGAGCCCAGGTGAGGATAGGTAAGGTCCCCCAGAGCCTGGGTGAGGGGATAGGTAAGGTCCCCAGAGCCCAGGTGAGGATAGGTAAGGTCCCCAGAGCCCAGGTGAGGATAGGTAAGGTCCCCAGAGCTGGTGAGGGATAGGTAAGGTCCTAGAGGCAGGTGAGCATAGGTAGGTTCCCAGAGCCCAGGTGAGCTTGCAGGTAGGTCTCCAGAGCCCAGGTGAGGATAGTAGGAGGTCCCCAGAGCCCAGGTAGGCATAGGTAAGGTCTTCCAGAGACCAGCCTGATGGAGAATCATAACAGCATCTTCAGTTGTGTTCATTAGACAATGACATTCTATTTTTACTAAGAGATGCACAGAATTTTCTTCCCTCTCATAAAACAATGTGCTCTTTCTGAATTATCTTGACTTCTGGCTCCCTCCTTTTCTGTTTTCTCCACTTTTGGGTGGAGACATGACTCAGAGAAACATTTCTCAGTAGAAGAGTAGTGAGATAGACCATAAATAAAGCTGGTCAACTCTGGAGTCAAAAAGACCCTGCAAGGCAAGGAAAGGACTGGAACCTCAGCACCCCGCTCTGCCCCATCAGGAGCCAAGTCAGATGGAGGCTCCATTTCACAGTGTCTGAATTCTCAAGCGTACTAGAAATCTAAATTTCTAAAGGTGGAAATCATAAAAGAGTTTTGAATGTTGACTCAATTTTCTCATTCTGCAAGCTGTTTTATTGTCTTTTTTTTTCTTTCTTTTGAGACAGGGTCTCACTCTCTCACCTTCCCAGGCTGGAGTGCAATGGCACCATCTTGGCCACCTGCCTTCCACCTCCCGGGTTAAGTAATTCTCACTGCCTCAGCCTTCCGGGTAGCTAGGACTACCGGGTGCATGCCACCATGCCTGGCTAATTTTTTAAATATTTTTAGTAGAGACGGGGTTTTGCCATGTTGGCCAAGTTGGTCTCAAACTCCACAGCCTCAGGTGATCCTTCCTCTTCGGCCTCCCAAAGTGCTGGGATTATAGGTGTGAGCCTGCGCCCAGCCCTTTTCTTTTCTTTGAGAAGTCAGCTCACCTATGAAGATTCAGTCTGAGTTAGAAATGGAGGACTTGGGAGAAGACAAGCCTCATTAAAGACACCCTGGGCCCTGAAGCAAGAGAGAACTGTGGCCCGGCCGCAGAGGAGTTGGCCACGGAGCTCATTGCCATTCAGTTTTTAATCAGATTTAAGGACTTTTGCTGGTGAATACTGAAGACACAAGCAGCTCCACTCATAACCGGACCTGGGCCCATGTTTCTCCTCAGCGCCATGTCCCCTCTAGCTTAACCAGCAAGGCCCCGTCAGGGGACGCCCCGATCACGGGAGGACACCTTGGTCAGGAGGGACACCTTGGTCAGGAAGACACCGGTCAGGAGGGCACCCGGTCAGGAAGACACCCAGTCAGGAAGGGCGTCCCAGTCAGGAGGACACCCCGGTGGGAAGACGCACCTAGGTCAAGGGGAGGACACCCGGTCAGAAAGACGCCTGGGTCAGGAGGACACCCCGGTCAGGAGGACACCCGGTCAGGGAGGATGCCCCGGTCAGGACACCCCAGTCAGGGAGGATTATCCAGTGCTCTGGGGTGTGTCCTCCACTCCTCCTGAATTCGTTTTCTGCAGCTGTGGTAACAATCATCACACCACAAACCCAGCAGCTTTGTAGGACAATGGACACCATGTATTCTCTTCCAGTTGCGAAGGTCAAAAGTCTCAATCAGCTTCACTGGGCCGACATCAAGGTGTTGGTAGGGCTGCCCTCCCTCCGGAGGTTCTGGTAGAACATGCTTCCTTCATTTTCCAGCCCCCAGAGCTGCCTCCTTCCTTCCTTAGTCTCTGCCTCCATCTTCCAATCTTGTTTCTGTAGTCCCACCCAGGACCTGCTTCTCCCCACCGCAGTCAAATCTCTCTACCTCCCTCTTATAACTGATCAGCTCCACTTAGGGCCACCCAAGTAATCTAGGATACTCTCCCTATCTCAAGACCCTTAATTTAAATACTGGTAACAGCCAAGACATGGAAACAACCTAAGTGTCTCTCAGTGAATGAACGGATAAAGCAAATGTGGTGTCTATACACGGTGGAATACTATTCAGCCTTAAAATAGAAGAAAATCTTAGCATTTGCAACAACGTGGATGAACCTGAGACATGATGCTAAGTGAACTAGAACAGACACAGAGGCAGATCCTGCATGATGTGCTTATATGTGGGGAAAAGCCCAGCTCATAGAAGAGTCAGATGAGGGGTTTCCAGGAGCTGGGAAGTGGGGAAATGAAGAGGTTGGTCAAAGGACAGAAAGTTTCCAGTTATGCTGGTGAATACATGATGGGGTCTAATGAATAGCATATTTCTCTAGTTAATAATACCATATAGACTTAGGATTTGCAAGGCAGTGGGTCTTCCATGTTCTCACACTTACACACTGTTGATGGGAATATAACATAGTATGGAAAATTAATTATGGAAAACAGTATGGAGAATTCTCAAGGAACTAAAATTCTCTACAGCAATCCCACTACCAGTATCTACCCAAAGGAAAAAAGATCAGTACATTGAGAAAACACCTGCACTCTCAATTTAGACACACACTACATTTTCATAACATTTATATACAATGTACATAAATATATAATTCACATTTATGTACAATATATATAATACTATATATAAACATACTATATATTGTATATATAATATAGTAATTTTGTATATAATATAATTTTGTAATACATATATGTTATATATTGTACATTATATTGTGTATATATAATACAATAAATATACAACATACTATATATACAATATATTTATATGGAATAAAATATTTTTCAGTTATAAAGAAGAATGAAGTCACCTCTTTTTGTAACATGAATGGAACTAGAAGTCATTATTTTAAGTGAATCAACCCAAAAGCAGAAAGTCAAATACCACATGTTCTCACTTACAAGTGGGAGCTAAATACAGTGGACACATGGACAAAAGAGCGTGGAATAATAGACACTGGATGTTCAGAAGGGTTGGAGGCTAGGAGAGGTTGAGGAATGAGAAATTGCTTAATGGGTACAGTGTACATTATTTGGGTGATGTTTACACTAGAAGCCTGGATTTCACCACTGTGCAATATATCCATGTGATAAAACTCCATGTGCCTCTAAATATATACAAATTTTAAGAAATATCTTACACACACACACACGTGACTATGTGAGGTGATGGATGTAATAGTATGATTTGTAATTATTTCACAGTATACATGTGTATCAGAACATCATGTAGTACACCTAGATTGATGCAGTTTTGTCTGCCAAGTACTTATTGCCAATAAAGCTGGGAGAAAAAGATACTTAATTTGGTCACACCCACAAAGTCCCTTTTGATGAGTAAGATAACGTTTACAGATTTAAGGGGATGAGGATGTGGATATCTTTGGGAGCCATGATTTAGGCTCCACACTCCCCCAAAGACATGTCCCAGTTCTTGTTTAGGATCAGAAAACTAAGGACTCATTACCTTCCCCACAGCTAAGAGACAATACAAGAGAACAAAGTCCTTCCATTGAACTTGGTTCTTGTAAGGCAAGATGGCATGAGGGAGCCATCTTGCACCAGGCAAGTTGAGCCTGGGCTTTGGGGCCAGACTCCCAGAGGGCTGAATCCCTGGCTCTGCCCTTCCTGGTAGAGGAACATAGGCAGGCTCCCCCGCTCCCGGCTTCCTCATCTGGAATGTGAGAATGGCAGTGGTGCAGCTGTGGTTGTTCTGAGGATGAAACGAATCCACGTTTGGATTCCCTGAAAAAGTGGAATCATGATGTGCCCTTTAATTAGGCGGTTTATTTGGGAATGATCTCTGGATGCAGAATGAGGAATGAGCAGCAAGACAGGACACATTTGAAAGCCAGCAGGAGGGCATCACTGAGCTAGCGCGTGGTGAGAGACTTCTGTGGAGACATGGAGCCCCTCTGAGGAACTCTGCAGAATCCACCCCGTGCCTGCGGGGGAAAGTGGTCTGCGCATGCTCTGTTGAGGCGTTCTCCAGGATACACCGGCGTGGGAGTGAAAGGCGTAGGAGGCGGAAGAGGAGGAGCCAAGCAAGGTCCGGCTTCCGGTGCAGCACAGTCAGCTCCTGAGCAGCTCTTAAGAGTGAGCTGTGCTGTGTCAGCCCAGGTCCCTCCCTTCAGAATAGGCAGCCTGGGCTTCTCACCCTCCCCAGGTAGTCACTGGGCAGAGAAGCGGGGTGAGCAGGACATAACTCCCAGGTAACTCTGAGGGACACAGCTCCATCCACCTAAGGGCAGTCTGCTATGGAAGATGTGGCAGGGCTGTCGGCAGCACCACACACCCAGCCCCTGGGGAGAGTCCACCAAGCCTTAGCCACAGGGACCCCAGGGAGGGCTTGGGTACTCAGAGGCACCTATGCAACGCGTCTGCTATGCTCAAAAGCAACAGCCAATATCTGCTTCCTTACCAGGACCTCCTCCCCACTTATTCGTGACCTCTACCAGCCAGGGTGCTTCCCTTTCCTCCTCCTTGGGCCATGCAGTAGGATGAGAAAGCTCACCTTCCCCTCCCCTTCTCTCTCTCTCACCTCTTCACAGGTTTCTGACAGATGCTTGACTACGTCTTTGTCAATGGGAAGGGGAAATGAAAGGCAAGGTGAACGTGATGGTGAACTTCACCTACCAGCACCTGAGCAGCCCCCTGGAGATGACAGTGTGGGTGCCCCGACTTCCCGCTGCAGATGAGGTCTCAGACACCGAGCTCAATCAGATCAAGGGCTGGCGAGTGCCCATCGTCTCCAGCAGGAGGTGGGTGTGCCTCAAAACTCCATGACAGACTAAGAAGGAAGTGCCTGGGGTGGCAAATCCGGGCATGACTGGGTCCTGAGGATGCATGTGGTACCTAAGGACCAACTCTCCCTCCACCGCTCAGCTTTGATTTGCTCTGTGTTGGCTTCATTCTCTATCAGTGTTTTTGGGAGTTCAGGCTTTCATCCCTCTCTTCTCTGCAACTCCAGCAGGAAGTGCCTCCTCTCCTTCCCACTAGTTCCAGCAAAGTCCTGGATTTAAGTCTTATCCTCACTGGGATTTTGTGGCCTCCCTTATCTAGTTACACCTTGTAAGGCCCTGGAACACACTGGTGGCTGGACTCCCCCAACTAGAGCCAGAGGAGCTAGTCGAAGAGGTGCACTAAGGCTGAATGAATGGACAAATTCTAGGAGGAGAGAGAGTGATGCTGGAAAGAAGAAGGCAGCAGATGTTCCTGGAAGGACATCTGGCAGGTCAGCCTGACCTGAGCTGCCTCTCTGTGCTCCAGTCCAGAAGCTCTGAGCTCTCTGCCTTAGTGAAATAGGAGTCTGGCGCTTGTCCACTGAGTGTCTGATACATTACTCAATGGTGCTGGTAGAGCCCAGAATTCTACCATCCATCAGGGAACCACGTGAGTACCATGTAAAGACAGTGGTAGGAGCTCAGGCTCTTCACTCTGAACTTTGTCATCTCAGAGGAAGCCGTGTATAAAATTCAGGTATAACGACATGTTGCTAAGTATATGCGTTATGAGACAAGGAAATATGCCTGGAGTCTGTGTACTCGGCAGGGAGTGGAGAATTGGTGCTCATCTGAGGATAAACATATTCCCTCCCTTACAAGCTCATTCCTTTGGTCCATGACCCTGGGAGAGGAGGATGCTTCAAGGACAGAGGCTGTGGTCTCAGGGACAGTTGGGAGCTGGCTTCAGCAATGATTCTTTCTCAGTCGCTGGGGTTTCTGGTGTTGAGTTGAGGGCGTGGATTAGAGGGTGACGGTTGGTGCTGCAGAGGAAGAAACTGTGAGGAAGATTCACCAGGGACCTGGTTGAGTCTCACCACAGCACATCCCACACGCTGTCACAGCTGCCTGGTTCAGACATGGCAGCAGAGTGAGTGTGAGAGGGAACAGCTGCTGTTCTGATGGAGACCGAGACGGTGCCTTCAAAGACCAGCTGCACAGAAGGGACCAGATGTTGAGGGGAGCAGCTGACATCTGTCTCCTTCCAGCATCCTGGCCCTCTCTGCCTTTGTTATCACATTTGGCCTCACCTGGGGTTACATATTCACCCGCTTTGTGTGCTGGCTTACAGAACCACACCATTCATCCCAGCAATAGTGTTAGCTATCATTCTGTCTAACATAGTGAAGCATCCCAAAGCTTAGTGGGTTAAAAAATGATCCCCAATGTTAATGCAAGCACAAGAACAACATGCTGGCCAGGCATGACTCACGCCTGTAAGTTCCCAGCGCTTTGGGAGGCCGAGGCAGGCGGATGGCTTAAGCCCAGGAGTTTGAGACCAGTCTGGGCAACATAGCGAGACCACATCTCTACACAAAATTTTAAAAATTAGCCAGGCATGGTAGCTTGCACTATAGTCCAAGCTTCTTCAGGAGGCTGGAGTGGAAGAGTTGCTTGGGTCAGGAGTTCGAGGCTGCAGTGAGCTGAAATCGCACCACTGCACTCCAGCCTGGATGATAGAGCAAGACCCTATCTCGAAAAGAGAAAGAACAGCATGTATTATCGAACAGTTTCCGTGGCTCTGGAATCTAGGCATGGCTGAGCTGGGTCTTCTGAGCAGGGGCTCTTACAGGCTGCAGCCCATGTCAGTGGGGCTGGGGTCCCATCTCCAAGGCTCATGGGAAGGATCTACGTGCAGGCTCACTACAGCGCGGAGTGCTGGCTGGTCTCAGTTCCTCACTGTGGTGCTGGCCAGAGTTCACTCTCAGTTTCTAGCTGGCTGGAAATCTCTGCAACAGCTCACAGCATACAGCTCCCTTCATCCAAGTGAGCAAGTGCAAAGAACAGGAAAGAAAACACAAGCAAGACAGAAGTCACCGGCTTTCCGTCTAGCCAAGAAAGTGACCATCAATCACTTTCGCCATAACTTTTTCACTGGACAAAAGAAACTGAGTCCAGCCCACACTCAAGGGGGAGAGGTTTACACAAAGTAGACACCAGGAGGTGGGGGCCACTGGGAACACCTTACATTCTGCTAGCTGCACCGGCCTTGCTGATGGGACTGGTCACGCCAGAGCAGTGGTTGGTATGTCAGTTCACCTCTGCTTGTCTGGATGTAAACTCCTTGAAGTCTCATGGTCTCCTTACCTCTGCAGCCCCCACCAGGCTCCACACACAGCCCGCCTGAGAACCAACAGGTAACTGTCTGCAAACTGCACTGCCTCTTTCCCCGGGCTGCTGGGGACAGTGAGGGAGAAGAGGACGATGAGCGGAGAAGGCAGGCACCCTGCAGTACCAGCACGCCATGGTGCAGGTCTAGCGCAGTTGTAGCTGAGGCAGCCGGCCCTGGGGACCACCTGGCCCACCTGCTGGGCTCCAGACTAGCAAGTGGACATCACAGAGCTGATAAATGACTTCATGCGGGTGGAGGGGCCCAGGATCGCCAAGCTGCAAGGTGGACAGATCCTGATGGGACAGGAACTTGGATGATGACCACCATTCAGGTAAAAAAAAAAAAAAAAAAAAATCCCCAAAGCAAGATCTCTCTGTCTTCCCACCTCTGCTCTGCCCAGAGGAGAAACCAGCTGTTTGTCATTGCTGGGAATGGTATCTATTTTTAGGATGGCTAAATTCAAAGAAATTGTCAAGTAAACAATACAAGTGATGTTGGCTGGGTGCAGTGACTCACGCTCGTAATCCCAGCACTTTGGGAGGCCGAGGCGGGCAGATCACCTGAACTCAGTAGTTTGAGATTAGCCTGGGTAACATGGCAAAACCCCATCTCTACCAAAAATACAAAAATTTGCGAGTGTGGTGGTGCACGCCTGTGGTCCCCGCTCCTGGAGGCTGAGGTGGGAGGATCGCTTGGGCCTGGGAAGCAGAGGTTGCAGTGAGCTGAGATCGTGCCACTGCACTCCAGCCTGGGTGATGAAACGAGACTCCATCTCAAATGAAACCTATTACAAATCATGTAATGATGTGATGAGAATCTCGAAATTCCTCACATATTACTTATAGGTGAGAAACTCTGGGCTGACTCCCATGGTGGTCATGCTTGAAACACACTATTTTGCCCAAGCTGTGGTAGGCATTACTATCTTGGTAAACAAGCTTTTGAGGTGAGCTCATGTGATCTGAATCACAGGCACGGCCAGCAGCTTCTTGCTGAGCCACTTTCCGCCGCCGAGCATGGTCACCTAAACCTTCCCATGGCTTCAGGATATTGTGACCGCCTCTGCAGAGTCACAGCCAGTGGCCTGAGTAGGAACCTGGATACTTTCAGACATGTGCTGAAGGAAGGAACGAAGTTAGTATTATTGCCTCCATTTGTCTCTTGGGCCCCTTCTGCTGGGAGGCGGAGTGATGGGGGAGAGGACCAACCGCAACACTCGGGTTTTGAAACAAACGCTTTTACAAGCAAGTGTTCTGGGAGGCAGCAGGGGTTTGGTCATTTACCTCCCAGCTGAGAACAAAGCAGGAGTTTGTTTTCTTTCTGTAAACATGTAAGGGGTGCAAGTGTAGTTTTGTTACCTGGACATATTGCGTGTCTGCCTTGTGGCGTAGCCATCACCCAAATAGTGTCGTAAATGTGAAAGGAAAAGTGTATTCCCCAGCAGCTGCCCTCTGCAGGCAATGCGATTGTCTTATCAGGCAATCTGTTGAAACTTCGAAAACAGCTGTGCATGAGAATCATCATAACTGAGACTAGATTGGATCATTGGAAGATTTAAAAAACATATCCATTCCTAGAAAATTGGCTAGTATATCTAAAACTTCCATTTTATCCAAGGAGGAAAATAAATGGGTTTGGGCTGTAGACCAGGAGTCACACACTCTAATGATCTCTAAAAGCTGAGAAGCTACCGTCAGTGAGGAGAGTAGGCTGGGTGTGTGCTGAGAAAGACAGCTGATTTTCCTCTGAGTGTTAGAGACAACAGAGAGTGGTGGGGACTGTAGAAGGGAGCAAGCTCTTACAGCCAAAAGCTGCCAGAAGAAATGCAAGTCCACTGTGGCCATATGTTCCAATTTTCTAGAAAAGCTGGAAGTCTATGTTTTTATGTGAAATCTTCTGGCTCTCTAAATGATGATCGTTAATTCTACCTTAAAATATGACTTATGTCAGATAAACATATCTGCCTCATAAATGAGAGCTTTTAGCCTCACAATTGACTAAGAAGTTGAAAGACCATGAATCCCTATCATAAATCTATGAAGCTAAACTGAAACTGATGTCAGAAACTCACAGTGAGTTGAGAATTTGGGTATTAACATCTTCCTTAAGTGACAATTGAAGTGCAAAGGGAAAAGACATACCATTCTGAAATCAGGTGTCGGGGGAAGAGGAAGTGGGCCAACCGGCACGTTAAACGTAGACATTATTTTGGTGAGGGCATCTACTCCTGCAGACCTTGGTTCTTATTTTCTTTTTTTCACTGCGTCCTCCTGAGTCATAAATTCACTTGTCACTTTCTGAGGACGCATCTCTCTCACTCGCCTCCATTTAAATTGTCCCAATTGGACCGGAAAGTGAAGGTGGCATTCGGATAGAAGTATGAACTTTGATTCCTGGTCTTAAAGGGTCCTGGGAAAACTGCTGTCTTGGCATACATCATAAATATCACCAAAAACTTGAAAGAAAGAGGTCAGAAAAAGCAGGAGAGCAGAGAATGAAGCCCCTTCCCTGCCAGAAGGTTGGAGTTACGCGGGGTCGTGAGGCATCTAGACAGCTCTTTATCATTGGGGCAAAGGGTGAGAGGAGGAAGAGTGATTCTACAGACGTTCCTCAAAGCAGGATTAATCCCAGCACTTTGGGAGGCCGAGGCGGGTGGATCACGAAGTCAGGAGATCGAGACCATCCTGGCTAGCACGGTGAAACCCTGTCTCTACTAAAAATACAAAAAAAAAAATGCAGAATTTCCTGTCCAGGGTCTAAATTGCACATAAGCCTCATTTCCAGGTCATTCCAGGTGTCCACAGAGGCTGAGGCTTTGGAGTTGTTAGCGTCAGGCATAGACACTTAAGAACCTACGTTTATCAGAATATGCCCGACGATATTCCCATCATCAGGCATCATCGCTGTGTTTCCCAAAGTGTACAGTGTGGCCTCCAGTGACACACATGATTGAGATGGACCAGCAGGATCCACCTTCCAGTTGCGCATTGGTTTTCGTGTGCAAGAGAGAAAGCCGTCAATATGTAACCAGTACACCCAACCCATTGTTTGCTGGTGATAGAAAGGCTTTTGAAAAAACAAATTTTAGCAAAATAAATACTTTTAAACAAAATACACACACACTAAAGGTAGAGAGATGATCTGTGATGTAGAAAAATCATAAAGTTAATAGTCAAATGAAAATTTCAATTCCTCCTGTCAGGATGGGCATGGTGGGAAATGGAGCTGATGTGTGGGGTGTGGGGAGGGGCCAAGCCCTGCCTGCACCCACTACCCGGCTGCTGCCTTTACGCAAATGCTTTCCATTTTCTCAAAGCAAAATATGTGATTTAGAGAGGCCGGTGTCAGTGGGAAAGACCTGTTCTCATACTTTCTGGCTCACACATTGCCCTGTAGCTGCCTGCACACTTGGCCTTCCCACTCCTGCAACTGGAGGCAGTGCCTGGACCACAAGAAAGCCTTTCCTTGTCATGTAAACCGCCCTCCAGATCCTGTCTCCTCTGTCGAGACACATCCTCGCTGAAAAGACCATCCGTGCTGGTTGAGAAGGTGACCATCACAGACCTCGGGGGTGCAGCTGGTGACAGGGCTCATCGCTCTCCTTGCAGCTCAGCCCAGGAAGCAACAGAGCCATCTTTGCCACTGCGGTAGCTCAGGAACTTCTGCAGAGGCCAAAACAAGGGTATGGAGGAGGTTTGAGACACACTTCAGCAGGGCTCCACACCAAGTGGATCACACGCAGGCAGGCACCGCCAGGCAGGTGGCACAATAGAGTGGGATCACATATCTCGGGTGTTTCTCCATCTGCAAAGGGCTCTTATGAAGCAGGTGACTCCTCTGCCTCATGTTTCCCAGCTCCCTCATGCAGAGATGAAAAAAATAAATACAAATATACATAAGGATTGCAACATCACTTAAAAATGAGAAGCCACTAAGGGCAGGAGCCCTGGAGAAGGCCCGCCCCTCATCACCACAGTGCAGGTGCATGCAGGTGGTCACCTGTGCTCTCCACATCCTTCCTGCTTCCATGAGGGCATGAGGGCACGTGCAGGCTCAGAGCAGATTCACAGCCTGCCAAGGTCCTGATGGAGTGGGCGTGACAGACCTGCTGAGTGGGAGCCCGTGGCTTGGAGACATCGCTTCAGACCATTCATTGTTCAGCTCAAGGCAAAACAGAGAATTCATGGGATGTCAGTCACAATTTTCTTTTACTTTATTTGGAACCAGTGTGAGCTAATAGAGTGTGTTGTGTGTTCTGTGTGTGTTGTATGTGTGTATTGCCTGTGTCTATGTGTTGTATGTGTACACATGTATATATGTGTTGTGTCTATGTATGTATTTGTGTACATATATGTTGTGTTTGCTTTGTCTATGTATACTGCATTATTGTGTCTTGTGTCTGTATTTTGTGTTGTTTTGTGTTGTGTTTTGCATGTATGCTTGTGTTATAGAGGCACCTGTATGCATGTATATGTGTTATGTAGATATGTTGTGTGTTGTATGTATGTATGCATTGCATGTCTATATGTCATGTGTATATATACATATGTATATGTGTGTGCTGTGGGTCTGTGTATGTCATGTATGCATGTTTTTATGCGTGTGTGTATATGCATGTGTGTCTTGTATCAGTATTTGTGTTGTATGTATTTTTATAGGCACCTGTGTGCATATATATGTATGTAATGTGTTGTGAATGTATTGTGTGTTGTGTGTGTGGTGCATGTGTTTGTATGTGGATTTGCAATGGTTTACAAAGGGACTATTATGGGGACCTTTGAAAGTGATATGTTTCTCCCTCAGCCCAAGTAGATAAACATTACTTCTTAAAACATAGGAATTTGGGTGAAGCTTGCTTAACAACAAAACATAGTGGTTGCAGGTCATTAGTTCTTTGTGCCCCATGAAAAGGGATCATCTTCATGTGAGCAGCTGGAATCCCTCCAGCCCAAATGGGATATTGTTCTGACTGCTTCCCTTCTGGATCCAGAGCCTTTTTTGCACACTCTCCCTCAGCAGGATGAGGGTGCCAGGCCTGCCTGCCTTCGTGCACCAGCAGCAGCTGTGACCATGTGTTCCAGAGGGAGGCAGAGTGCTACACTGGACTTGCCAGAGGCACAAGGCCTTCCCACTTTTTCCCAGCCTACCTGTCATGTAATGCTCCCCCTCTTGGGCATGAGCTAATCTCACAATCATATACTACAGTCTTTGTTTGCAGAGTTTTGGATTAGAAAACTCTTGAAAGCGGATGATCGCAATAACAGAATTGAATTTTTGGGCAAAGCAAACCTCCTTTTCTCAAGGAAGAATGCCAGCCGAAATGGAAATTACAGATGGCAATGAAGAAATAACCTGAGGCTTTCACTGTCTTTGTGGGTGATAACATCAGCTGACCACCAGTTAGGCCTTGGAAGGATAAGATGCAGCTAGAAGAAGGCCAGGGCTAATCATTCCTGACATGCAGAGCTAAACACGCTACCCTGAGATTTGCTCCATGGAGTGGTTTGCAGGGCTCTCACTCCCTGCCTGCAACTTGGCTCTGACAGTGGTGGTTTCAGGAACTCCATTGTGCATTTGAATGCTCTGCTCAGATTTCATGGCAGATTGAGAGAACCTGGTAAGTCAGTGTCATGTCCAGTAGCTTTCGCACTGTGCCTTAACAGGAGTTCTCCCACTTAGCAGAGTCAAGCCGATGTCTAACAGTAATAGTATTTCTTGGCTGAGCTGAAGGAAGGAGCAGAGGCCACCAGCCACATTTGAGAGCCTTTCTTCTTACTTCCAAAGACTAAATAACAACTGTGTAAAATTACTTCTGTCATGGTCAGGGGCCAGTGGGTTGTAAGAGAAAAAAGTCACAGAAGCTTAAATAACAAGGATGTGTTACGAGGGGATTGGAGGATCTCACAGAACCCAGCTGCAAGACCTTGGAGAAGGGAAGGTCAACACTCTCATGCCCACTCTCTCTCTCACCTGTGTTTTTACTTTGGTCTAACTCATTATTGTCTTCCTATGGATAAATGCCATGCCCAAACATTTGCTTACACGTAGTCCATCAGAGGGCTGCATTCCCAATTTTATATGAGCCCCCACTACACAGCTTCTCAACCTGACTTTGCCAGTCTTGTCTTTCTGGTTTCAAGTTTGAGAGAGAGAGAAAGAGAAGAGAGAGAGACAGAGGGTGAGTCATGCTGGCTGGCTCAGCGTTGCTGAGATTGATGGCTCTAATGGCAGCAGCTGTCTCGTTCCAATCAGCTGTTGCTGTGGCCCAGCAGGCAGGGTCAGGGGCCGCCTAGTGCTGTTCATCATCTCGGGCTTGGGGCAGAGCAGGTTCTCCGAGAGGGAGGGAGGAGGGAGGAAGCAATGGATCTGCCTCTGCGCTGTCAAGCATGGCCAGCGTCTTCACTAAAATTAGAGGCTGGCATGAAATTGGAGGTTATCTCCAATGATCTGCTCCCAGTCAAACTATTTGCAAAGAAAGTTGGTCTAAATCAACAGAGTGAAAACACAAGAGACTGAGAGGTGCACAAACCCCGGCTCTGGCTGCTTTTTGGCCTTCCAGTTTCCTCCAGTTGGGCTGGGTGAAGAAAGGGCAGAGACTCTCCAATCACGATCACGTTACCTCTCCTGCTGTCAGGCCTAACTACTCCCTTCAAGCCAAGACTATGTCCTGAGGTCAGGACAGACCTACTCCTGCAGGCTTAGAAAGGCAGAGGTAGCCAAACCACAGCCTGCAGCCCTGCAGTGGGGATCTCATCTAGATCAGACCTTTTATCTGTTTTTGCCAGTGATCAGTGGAGACTCAGTATTACAACTTATAAATAATGTAATAAATATTTTTCATTTGAATCGTAACGCATAAATGATTCCACTCACCAGTAATTTCCTTTATGCGATGCAATTTATTATTGTTCAAGTCGATTCTAGAACAGCCCAAGAACATCTTCTTTTAACACCTACGGGAGGAGAAAAAAAAAAAAAAGCAAAATCTTCTTATGGTTATTTTTAATACCGACCTCTTTTTGTCATTTCGTTGTTTTTATTTTGCTTTTTGCATCTTGTAGAATTCGTTTTCTTTTATACTCTTGAGTACACTTCTTATAACTTATTTCTACATGCATTTGAAAGGCTTGTATCTTTGTTCGTAGCAATATTTTCATAGTGTGTCTACTGTACTAAGACTTGAGGCTCAATGAGCCTTTTGGCCCATTTTAATTAACTTACATATTTTTCTCAATAGGAAGCAGCCATCAGTTGCTGGGTCCAGTTCAGTGATGGCTCAGTCACACCCTTGGATATTTATGATAGGAAGACTCTCCTTGGTGGCCACATCTTTGGATGAGAAGGTGGTCTCCATCCACCAAGACCCCAAATTCAAGTGGCCTATCATTGCTGCAGAAACCGAAGGGATAGGCGCCCTGGTCAAGGTGGAAATGGTTATTAGTGAATCCTGCCAGAAATCCAAGCGGAAGAGTGTGTTAGCTGTTGGAACAGCAAACATCAAAGTTAAATTTAGCCAAAGTGATACTAACCCCCAACACAGTGACAGCAGACACACAGGGAGCAGGGGTTCACCTGAAAAACAATGTCAGTGACAGAAGGCCCAAAAAACCCCTTGCAAGAATGGGGGAGTCCAGGAAGGACAGTACTATGGCAGTTCTTCCATGGGACTCATGGAGGACAGGGCACCACAACAGACAGGTCCATCCTGCAGAAGAAGAAAAGCCAGAAAACCTTTTCGAATGCTGACAACCACTTGCAGACTAGCCCCAGTGGCCTCACCCAGCTTCCCAGCCCAGGTGGACCTCCCAGAAGCAATGCGGAAATGGATGGGAATGACCTTATGCAGCATCAAAGGGCTGAGCGACTTGGAAATTGGGATGTATGCTTTGTTGGGTGTCTTCTGTTTGGCCATTTTGGTCTTCTTGATAAATTGTGTGACCTTTGCATTAAAGTACAGACACAAACAGGTTCCCTTCGAGGAGCAGGAAGGGATGAGTCACTCTCATGACTAGGTTGGTTAAGCAACCCGGACAAACTGTTGGAGAATCACATCAACTTTGCCTCACCTCGCAAGATGAGCAAATCACTGCCATTGACAGGGGCATGGATTTCGAGGAAAGTAAATATCTCCTCAGCACAAACTCCCAAAAAAGCATCAATGGGCAGCTGTTCAAACCCCAGCACAGGACCCATCGTCATCGATGGGAAGAGACCAGAAAAGTGATCCCCCAACATCCCCCTACCTCAAAAGGAAGGGTGGGGGTACACCTTCACACATGGAGTCTCCTCGGCAATGAGTACCCCCACCAGGAACTCCATCGTGATGAGTAGCCGGGATGACATTAGTGGAGTCTGCCAGGATCTGGACCCTGGGGACTTAAAGCTGCTGACTTCTACATGGAGAGGTTACATGAAAATGTGTAAGCCAGACACACACAGACATTGGTTCTCACTCACTTTGTTTAATTCCCAGGATGTGTAGCAACGGTGCCCGGAGAGAAGCAAAGCAACAGGACAAAATAAGGATGACACTGTCCATGGAGCCTCAGCCAATGACCCCGGTTCAGCGGCTAGGCCTGGAGTCACTTGTCAGCACACATTCCAGAGTAGTGTCTTGTAGAGGTTTATCATGCATGGCAAGATTTTCAGACCTGAAACAAAGGAGTTCGGAATCACTGAGCATCTGAGTTTCCAGGAAAGAATAGCCTCTCTCTCTCTCTCTCTCTCTCTCTCTCCGAATCAAAAGCAATTTGGATATTGTAAAATCATGGCTCAATATTCGATATTGCAGACTACGGGCATGGCGCTCAGGTGGAGGATCCGTGGATCAATGGCAGAGCGTGTCCTCGGCGGAGCAGCACATCGCTGTGGCGCGATCACGGGCGGTCCAGTGCCGCCGTCCGCTGGGAGGCATGGCCGGGAGTCATTGTCTCTCAAAGAAGCTGGGCCAGAGCGAAGCAGATCATCGACAGGCCAAGGCAGTGGCTGACAAGGACTGAAAGGGAACATGTGGGCTAACAGGCCACAAATACCTTTGTAACTACATGCCAAGGACAAACACATGGACACAAATCCTGAGCCCTTCAGGCCCTTCTTTATTGTAAACTAAGGATACTGGGCATAGAATTTGAATCCAGGTTCAAAAAGAACCAGGCTCTTTTGATTCCTGTCAAGTTCACAATGTATCCATTTCTATTCCTCCACTGCATTGCCACCCTCCCCCAAAGCCTCTGTGGTCACACTGTGGGTGGGGAGGAGAAGACATTTCGTGTTTGCTGAGTCTTTTTTCTCCCCTCTGGGTTTGTGTCAACTCCCAAGTGACATTCTATAAGCTCCCCCACAAACCTGGGCGTGTCCCACGCAGTCCAAATCTTTGAAGAGGCTGGTCTCTGGGCATGGGCAGTACTCACAGTGATTCCACCCCAGGATAGACACTCCCCTTGCTTTTCTAGAAAGAAAACAGGGCCGCAGGATGGGTCTTTCACTGTTCGCGCGAATCTCCTGTCCAGAATGTGCCCTCAAGGCTGTTAGAGACAAATCTGGGTGCCTGTGTGGAATGTGCAGGACGTGTCGGAGTTGGGGGTTCTGGGTGTGAACGCGGTGGGTCCAGCAGGAGGCCTGGCCTCGCACACACCGAGACCTTTAAACCGCCTTCTCCTTGGAGGTGTGAAGGGATGAGGGCGTCTGCGTGTGGTGGAGATGCAGGTGTGCAAGCACCTGGTCCTGCAGTCAGCCCGAAGGTTTCGCATTGCTTGAGATCAGCATGACGCAGGATGTCCTGAATCCTCACTTATGGAGCCTATGAAGATGGGGAAGGAGACATCAGCCCAATTCCTGCCCCATCTCAACGCTAAGGTAGAGAATGGTGTGTTGGGTGATTCCAAGCAGATGGGGATCCTGAGAAAGATGGTAGGGGGCAGCCCAGGTGGAGGGCAGAAGAGGCCGTGCTGTTGAATCCATTCATATTTTCCCTCTTTTATCATTTTCATTCTCTCTGCTCTTTCCAATGTCTGTGCACCCACTCTGTGTGTAACATCTCTCTCTCCTTTGAACCTATCTCCTGCTTCCTCTCTGTCTCTAATTTTAGTATGTCTTTACTCCTTCTCCCTCTCCATAAAATTGAATTCTCACCAAGTCATGTATGCTCATTCCACAATTTACCCTTCAACCTTAGCCTCTCCTACAGCACCTTGGTGCTATCAGTTTGCTCTTGACACTGGGAGTTTTCTCTGCAGCCAGCGATCACCTGCTCTGTCCATAAACACCTACCTTGTTTGGTTGGAGTGATTAAGCTGTCACACCCGTTTGATGAGAATCCTTTGCTTTCAGTAACATCTCATGACTGCTTTCCATACTTACCTGTGTCATGTTCTGTTGAGTACTGCAGCCACTGCCTCCCAAATCCCATCTACGTGTAGAATGTACTGTAGATTGTAAGAATGTAATATATATTTATACACTTACTGACTGTAAATATAAAGTTTGCATTCAGTGGCTTTATGGCTGTCCTTTGTCCTCTCCATGACCCCCTCCACGGGCTTTGCTCAATTACAAATGGCTCTTAAAAGCTGTGGCTCCAAATGAAATGCAGATTTAAGAGGATCCCAGCAATCCAATTACACCCCCACATCGTGTAATGCTGCTCTCTGCATCGAGGGGATGTTGACATGTGATGACAAAGTACATTGTGTACTAAGTGTCTCTCCTTCAGGATCTGAAAGGATTTGCAAATAAATCACCATTCAATCCTCTCCTAAAAGCCTACTGACTAATAGTGGTAAGTGGAAACTGTGGCAGGCAAGCATGTATTCCAGCCTCCTTTTAGGCTGGAGTGGGGAAAATTTTCTGTCCCTTCCTTTGGGTCTTGAGTGTACATACACACAATAACTCTGGACTGGGTTAAAAAGTTGATTGTAGATTCCTTTATCAACTGCAGCCCCAAGACAATTCTACATAACAAAGGATTGCATGGAATCCTTGTATTCATGCAAACAATAGAAGTGATAGATCACTCATTTACTCAGCCAGTATTTGCTGAGCCTTGTCTCTGTACCAAGAATAGCTGCAAGCACTAGAGACAAGTCATACATGCAGCAAATGCACATGCATTTCAAAAACCTTACTTACATCTATTTGGGTGGGGGAATAAAGCAGCACACAAATAATTTCCAGATAGTCTGGGGTTTTGTTTTTGTTTTGAGACAGGGTCTTGCTCTGTCTTGTCGCCCAGACTGGAGTGCAGTGGCACAATCTCAGCTCACTACAACCTCTGCCTCCTAAAGCGCTGATGATCCTCCCACCTCAGCCTCCCGAGTAGCTGGGACTACAGGCACATGCCACCACACTCCAGTGAATTTTTTGTAATTTTTGTAGATATTGGGGTCTTGCTATGTTGCCCCAGGCTGATCTTGAACTCCTGGGCTCAAGCAATCCTCCCACCTCGGCCTCCCAAAGTGCTGGGATTACAGGTGTAAGCCACGGAACCCAGCCAGTCATAGGATTTTGTAAAAGACAATGGGAAACTGGTTGCAGAATGGAGAAAATTGAGCCAACATTCAAAACTTTGATAATTTCACCTTAGAAATCTGTTTCTAGCATCGCTTGAAGTCAGACACTGGTGAAATGGAGCTGCCAATCTGACTTGGCCCCGATGGGGCAAAGTGGCACTGAGGTTTGAATCCTCTCCACCCATGATGTCTTCTGGACCCAGAGTTGACCAACTCCATTTATGCTCCATCTCACCACTCTTCTAATAGAAGGTGTTTCTCCAAGTTAGGCTCTACCCAAAGTGGAAACAGAGGAAGGAGCCATGTGTTTTCACGATCATTCAGAAAGAGCTCATTGCTTTGTGAAAGGGAAGAAAATTCCTGTGTGTCTCCTAGGCAAATATAGAATGTCATTGTCCAAAGAACACAACTGAAGATGCCATCACAATGCAAACCATCATGCAATCTATGTACCCCAGAATCCAAGAAAGAACTGATAGGAAAGTCACAGACTGAAATGTCCACGAGTGTCTTTTTGAGTGTGAATAAATAAGTGGTGCAAGGTGGTTTCTCTCGCACCTGGCTGGTTCTCTCTCTGGCTTGCCACCTGCAGAGACTGGAGGCACTGGGTTTCCCAAATTCCCAAGGAAGATGGTGCTGGAAGCTGGAGGGCTGCCGGCCTCATCAGCATCTCTGTGGGGGTCTGTCCATCGCGGCTTCTCGGTTCCCTCCTGGACTGCGGCTAGGTACTTTACCATAACTAAGTACCACAAACTGAGCAGCTTAAATCACAGAAATGTATGACCTCACTTTTCTGCAAGCTTGAAGTCTGAGCTCAGTGTGTAGGTAGAGCTAGTTTGCCTCAGAGGGTTTCTGGGGAACTCCTGCAGGTCCACTCCCAGCTCCTGCAGTTGCACGTGTCCTTGGTAGTCCTTGGCTTATAGAAGCATCACTCTGATCTCTGCCTTCAGCTTCATGTGACAGACTCCTTGTGTGTGTGTGTCCATGTCCAAATGTCCTCCTTTTTTGTGAGCCGGGAGATCTCCTTTGCTACCCAGGCTGGAGTACAGTTGTGTGATCAATGCTCACTGCTGCCTCAACCTCCTGGGCTCAAGCAATCCTCCACCCTAGCCTCAAGTAGCTGGGACTACAGACACACACCATACCTAGCTTTTTTTAATTTTTGTAAATATGGAGTCTCACTATGTTGCCCAGGTTGGTCTCAAACTCCCACACCAGCCTCAAGCAGTCATCCTGCCTTGGCCTCCCAAAGTGCTGGGATTACAGGATAAGCCACCATGCCCGGCTCCAAATTTCCCCAAGGAAACTAGGGCCCACTGTACTCCCATATGACCTCATCTCAACTAATTACATCTGCAGTAGCCCTATTTCCAAACAAGGTCATTTTCTGATACTGAGCGTTAGGACTTCCACATGAATTTGGGGTGGGGAGATCCCAGTTCAATCCCATAACTCCTGCTCCACTGGTCTAAGGTCTCAGCAGCTAAGCCTGTGCACAAACCGAGGCAGCCAGTTGCTTCGTGGCCTAGCACTGAGCTGGTGGGGCCACTGGCCTTCCCAGGAATGTGTCTTACCCCTCAGAGCCTCGCCCTACCCTCGGTTTCACACCCGTTTTACAAATGAGTCTCTGCTAAGGACACCCTGGGAGTGTAAGTGAACAATTTATCTCTTTCATACCAGGAAGCTCAGATTTGTGAATTAATTACCCAGTTGGAGCTTCCCCAAGGTGCAGTCATTAGCTCCTTGCCACCCTTTGTTTTGCCCTTACAGCAGCAAATGATGCTCTGGCAGGAAGATGGGTGAGCCGGGGTGTCCCAACGAGGAGACTGGCATCCTCTCTGGGCCAGTGATTACTGTGGATGACTGCTCCGGCAGGTGGAGGAGGCAGAGGTGAGAAGTGCTACAGGCCAGAATGTC